ATCCTTCAGCATGTGAAACTCCAGACCGATTAGTTTGAAAGTCAGGGCTTCTGAGTCCTAACACTACCCCGACTGGCTGTGTGATGTAAGACAAGTTCCTTTTGCCTCTCTCAGCCTTCATTTTTCCAGCAGTTGGGTGTAACTACCTTCTCCTACCTCCCCAAACCCGTGCATAGGAATTTCTGCGGGGGGTGCTTTTTTTGTAAATGTAGACCACAAGGGTGTGAATGCATCCCTCATAGCCCCCCAAGTAAGCAGGGAAATCAGCCCCAGCCAGTCAGAGCATGGGGGAGGGAGGCTCGAACAGCCCTGCCTTCCCCAAGGATGCTTACTTGGGGGACACCTTTGCACCCCCCTGTGTACAGACCGGCTCCCTCATGGCGAGGGAGATCGGGGAACGTGACAATCCGTGCGAATGTCGCTAGTAGCAGCGAATATATGAGGCACCCTCTCATGTTCAGTCATTGCAGACGATGGCGGTGGAGCTGTTCAGGAGAACCCAACTTTCCATTATGGCAGCTTTAAACCAACCACGGGCACCCCCAGGACCAGGCAGATGCTTCTTCTTGTGACCACTAGATGGCGATGCAGCCTTGCACTTGCCCATACTCCTGCTTTTTTTTCCTATCAGTGCTGCCACCCCCAGGCAAAGAAAGGTGCATTCAGCACACACGTTACATTCAAACTAGTCATCATTCCCAAGCAGGTTGAACTGGAAAAGTGATTTTCGAGATAGCATCACAGGGGCAATATTCCTCAGGCTCACTGCCCTGCTGTGGACGCTCGTACAGGAAGCACAACAAAAATCAATCATCCTGTGACAGGCGCTGGCGTTGCCTAAGACAGTCGTGCCTCCCAGCCTTCGAACTCTGTACAGAAAGCAGACAGGAGGCGTAGAGCTGCACTGTGACAGAAAAGAGCAGGAACAACAGCCCAAGATCTGTGAAGCCTTTGGGTTAGGGATCCACTATGGCTCCTTAGGTCAGCAACTGACCAGGCCTTTGGAGGAGTCCTGCACCTCTTCAGCGACTCTACACTGTAGCTGGGAGCGAGCCTGCCAGCCTGGGTGGAGACTCTGGCTAGCAGGGCTCAAGCGAGTGTGCTAATAGCAGCCCCGTAGACGCTGTGACTCTGCTCTCGAGCCCATTTGACCTCCTAAGCTTGAGCTCCAGCTGTGCCGTCCATGCCCTGCTTGAGTCCGTGTGCCTAGGCTGGGAGATTCTCTCTCAGGTGCAGTACAGACATACCCGCAAGGGCCTCCGCTCATCCCTTCCCACATACTTAAGCAAAGCCCTGAAGACACTTTGCAGAGGTGTTTCCAGACACATACAATTCTCTTCCCCTCCCACTTTCCTTTTTCTAACACTAGCCCCTGGCTTAGCTTTGTAAGCTACATGTTTAAACAGTATGGGAGGCAGCCCAGGCTCTAGCACGACTTCATAAACAAACACACACCACCACCTGCAGCAGAAAGAACAAGTAGTAGGCATTTCAAATCATGGTCTTACCTGAACAGGTTGCTGCTCCCACTTTCAGGTGACAAGCTAAGGAGGAAAGATCCCAGATAGAACAGTCCAATTTCCAACATATCTTTTTGACCACATGGAAAGAAACCATTTAGTCATTTTCAAGAGGTGAGCGAGGTCCATGGCTTTGATTTGCCTTTTTGCATACTCCAAAAAGGAGCTTTACTAGCCAGCCCTCCAGGATTTTCCTGGAGTCTCCTGGCATGAAAGATCAAAAGATTGTCATGTGATGAAACCTCCAGGAATATGTTCAATTCAAACTGGCAACCCCTGTACAGAATCTGTTCATTCGCGGGAAGATCAATGGCTTTTTGCAAACTTTAACAACACACATTGAATTAAATCAGTCGAGAGATTTGTCAGCGCTGACATGTTGGGTTTTGTACAAGGATGTACTAGACTGAGAAACACAGCCCAGGTAGAGATGCTCCCATAGCTGCCCAGGTCAGTGACCTGCATGATAATAGTGTCTGCTAAGGCGATAGCCACGTGACAGGACAAAACCTTTGAAGTGCACCATAGGGTGGTTTCCAGTGGTGATTAAGACACAGGTTCAGTAGAAACTTGCTGCTTACTCCATTGAAAACCTAACCCAAATTATCAGTAGTGAAATACGAATGCTGACTCAAGCTCCCAAAAGGACGTACATTCACAGGTACAGTTTCTCAACACAGACACTGTACTACTGAAGCTAAAATCAGCACAATACATGTTCAGCATGAAAATCGGTTCCTGTTAAACCCATAGATATTTATGTAACTAACAGGCATGAGACAATGGGATAGTTTTAACACCTAGATTCATCATGAATCAGACTCTCTTTTAAGGAAACACCCAAATGCTGAGAATTTTGTCAATACAACTACAGGCAGAGGGAGGAGAGATCCGCTCTTCGGTATTCATTTAGACCTTGGAAGTAAATGTATGTTAAAACCAGTCTGCCAAAAATCCCCTTCCTCCTGAGTTGCTCAGCTCTTGGCCTTGTGGGCTACGTCTAGACTGACATGATTTTCTGGAAATGCTTTTAACGGAAAAGTTTTCCGTTAAAAGCATTTTCAGAAAAGAGCGTCTAGATTGGCACAGACGCTTTTCCGCAAAAGCACTTTTTGCGGAAAAGCGTCCGTGCCAATCTAGATGCGCTTTTCTGCAAAAAAAGCCCCGATGGCCATTTTTGCGATCGGGGCTTTTTTGTGGAAAACAAATCTGAGCTGTCTACACTGGCCCTTTTGTGCAAAAGGACTTTTGCCTAAATGGGAGCAGCATAGTATTTCCGCAAGAAGCACTGATTTCTTACAGTTAGAAGTCAGTGCTTTTGCGGAAATTCAAGCGGCCAGTGCAGACAGCTGGCAAGTTTTTCCAGAAAAGCGACTGATTTTCCAGAAAAACTGGCCAGTCTAGACACAGCCGTGTAGTATTATAGCAATAGCTCTTTAGTCACCATAGTCTTCCGAAAAGATCATGCCCAATACTGGAACTCAGAGTGGATCCAGGTGCAGCAGCTAAGAAACTGCTGGATTGACAGACGACAACTCTTCCAGTAGCAAAAAGATGTTGCCAACTCATTGACCACCAGGCACGAATCAGGAGAACACGAACAAAATACAAAGTGACACACAGGCTTGGGAGTGAGGATGTAAGGCACTTTCACTGTTACAAGGGACAAAGTCATATAGATCAGATCTTTAGTGGAAGATGGCATCAGGCATCATAGTTACTTCCCAGAAATAACCGCAATTACACCCCCTGTAGGAAATGAGAGCATGGAACTAACAGACAGCTCTGAATTCTTGTTATGGCTCTTTGGAACAGGGACATATTTCACTATGTATATACACAGGCACAGCAGATAACTTGAGAGTGGGTGAGGCGCCTGGTCACAGTTGTGGTAAAAGTAATAACCTGATTTCCAGCTTTGCCAGGTGGCCTTGTGTGTCAAATATGCCTGGTCACTAGTAAAAAGACCATACAAAGCAATTCCCTGCACTCAACCATTCCCCATTAATTCAACATATGCCAACCCCTAATCCAGGAGTGGGGAATCTCAGACCCAGGTGCCAGATGCAGCCCCCAGCTTGCCTGGATCTGGCCCCCATGGCTCAGCCCACCCCATCCCCCAGCATTGGGGAGCAGGTGCTGGCACTCCAGCCCCCCCCCCCCAATCACAGGGCTGGAGCACACAAAATCTACTAGGCTGGGCCCCCTTTGACTCCAGGTATGGGAGGGGAATGTAGGGAGCGTCTCTCCTCAGTCGGGGACCACCTCAGTGAGGGTGGGTTGGTTTTTTGTTTTGTTTTTGCTTCCCACTTGTGTGCGACTCCCGACTGATTTCTGAGTCAGTGGCCCCCCCGCCCCCCAAAAAAGTTTCCCCACCCCTGCCCTAATTGGAACTTCCCAATCAGAAGCTGGCTGAACAGCTGGGACTCCTACTTGGGTCCCAGAAAGCAGCTGGAAAAGAGAAGGTGGCTCATGCTAGAGCAACTTTTTGTGAGGGGGCTGCCCTGTGACGAGCTGGCTGCAAGCTTGCAGAACTTCTCCCAAAGCTACTGCCCAAATCCCCTGCCGCAGCCTGGATCCCCCTCCCGCATCCCAAACCCCTCATCCGCAGTCCCATCTCAGAGCCTGCACTCTAATCAAAAGATACAGTTACAGTGGGTCAACAGGCATCAGCAAGATTCTTCAACTGGGTCGCGCAGAAAAGAGTTTGAAAACCTCTGCTCTAATCAGAGCCATGGCTCCCAAATGGAATGGGGGACGGGGGAGACGGGGGGGAGGAGGGGTGAGAATCACTGGCTTGACACCAGGCAGCAGGGGAGAATTGCCAGACTTCCCGCAATCAAATGGCAACTCAGACGTAGAAAGCTCCAGATCTCGTCAGTCTGAAAGGCTCCTAGCAACCCTCGACCCTGCAAGGGGATTAAAACCCTCTACCCCACCCAACCAACCACCTTCCAAGCCAACCATCACTCAGTCAATGGAGCCCCACTGTCACTAGGAAGTGCCTTGCAAAGAGGAGAAAGCAGGGTCTGGCATCGATTCTTCCCACATGCCCCCATTCCTTTGAATAAGTTTATTACAAAGTAGTTACCCTATAAACAGCCACACTCCCTTGGCTAATGACAAGGCCAGAGAAACCTACTGGAGATCCTTTGATTGATCATCTTCCTCCCATCCTCACCCCACCCCAAAAAAGGAGAACGGCAGCAGGAGCAGGGCTTTGAGCTAGCTGCCAGTTGAGTAATTGACTTTAAAAAGCCAGAACTCGTCCTTTTAGTCTGAGGGACAGGTGGACAAAAAGCTCCGACCTCCCCCGCACCTTCATGAGGGAGTGGCTCTGCCAGAGGGGTTAAATGAGTACTGGTGGGGGGGGGGAGGGGGGACACGACACACCACAGAAATTGTTCCCATTTTGCTCTCAGTTTTGTACAACTGTCACTGACAGTGTTTCCCCTTTACATTTCCCCGAACACAGTCAGCTCCCAAGAGGCACTTTATTTGCACAGACCCTCATTGCTCCCCAGACATCAAACCACATCGACTGGAAGAAAAACATATACAGACTTGACACAGTGCTCAAACACAAGAGAAAAGTCCAGCTGGAGCACCGCGGTCAGCTTCAGGGCACAGGCCTGTTTCCACTATGCACCCCATTTTCTCCCAAGCCCATCAGCAAAGAATGTGTTTGAAATCAGCTTCAGGTTGAAATGTAAAGCAAAATTAAATAGGGAGCAATTAAAAAAAAAAAACACACAAAGACAGACTGAGTCAAACATAGCACGCCACAAGTTTCCCAGTTACAGGGGTGGTTTTACACCTACCCCCCACTGTTCCATACAACGTCAGGCACTATTGGCATAAGGAGTAAACCCAAGAGACTGTATGAACTGGAAAAGTCTGCTATTGCATCTGGGCAGCAGCAATTGGCAGCTCTTCCCAAGGCTGCCTTGTCATAGGGGCTGCATGGAACCGACTGCCCCGTTAGTCCCAGCAGTAAGCTCCAGGCCGTGCATGGTAAATTTGCATTTTAAAAAGTAAAAAATAAAAATAAAAATCCAAATGCGTATTTACAAACCAGATCAGTAGCCAAGAGTCTGCAAGGCCCAAAGGTGATATGCAAAATATTACGTATTTACAGTCAGGCCCTGTTTGTCAGGAGTTTTTGTGACCCCTCTGAGTCTGATCCTTGCATGATCGGGCGGGGGGAGGGGGGAAGTTTCCAAATGTATATTTCATTGCTTTAAAAAATAAAGCCAAAGGAAAAACAAACTCACCAAAGGTTCAGTGGCCCCTGCATTGCCAGGCCATCCCGCTGAGCCTGCCAAAGGCCCCAACGCAGAGCACAGAGCTAACAGAAAGCCAGCCAAACATGGAAGAAGTTTCAAAGTGACATGGGATCAGTTAGCCAGCCTATCACTGTCCGGCCAGCATCAGTCCATGAGTCACTGCCCCTGACGTTTCAACTGCTAGGACTGAATGTGTGTTTGTGGAAGTAAATGTACACAGACAGCAAGGTCTCAGCGGGACTTAACGTGGCTCTGGTGAATGTTATGTTTCAAAGGGGTTCTGTCCACAGCAGACAGCCATAGAAGCCCTAATTAGCTAAGTGAGAAACTAAAGCTTTGAAAAGCACAGGAGGCAAACAGCCTCTAGAGTCCCAACCTACGAGCTAAACTCACCTTCCCTTTGTTTAAGCACAGAAGTGCGGCCTAGACCGTGGCCAGAGCCCACCTTTACCAATGTCTGCCTCTAGCAGCACTGGACACTTTGGTTTCATTGCTCGTTAATTCCACAAATGAGCATTTCCTATTCTTCTACTAAGGTGCCAAGGTGTAGAAAGAAATCTCGTGGCTGGGCGTGTTTATTTTCTGATAAGCGAGCAAGCGGCCACAGCAGCGAGGGCAGCCCTCAAGGTCACCCAGTTTGGTGCCTTTAGGGTAGCAACACTACCTGTTGTTTTGTAACTGGATTGAGGAGGGAAGGCGCCGAGCATGCTCAACACCCATGTGCGCAGGGGAGCAAGAGTCCCATTTACACAGGAATAATCCGTTCCTTACATACGCTTCATGGGAAGTTCCCCCAGAAAGCCCCTCTCTCCCCCCTCCCCTCCTTTAAGGCAACCATAAAGTTTTCCAGGGAGCATTTCTAAGGGACATTTAAGATCCCAAACACACAGGCAAAGTTACAGGGAGGACTGATTAGTCATTTTTAAAAAAGCCTGTCCTTTCCCTTCCTTTCCCTTCCAAGACACAAGTTCAGGGTTTTCTCCAACAGTTAACGTGACCAAGGGTAACGTGAGCCTTGGCAGGTGAGTGAAGGAAAAGCTGATTGGCAAATGAGTCACAAATCGACACCAGTGACTATTTAACACCTCATGGATCACCAGAGCGGCAGTGATTTCAAGTGTTTTTTCAATGGTTGCATGGCAACCGGTGAGACAAGAGTTGGGTCTCAATCCAGGTAGTCTCACCAACAGGTTGTCCATGTTGCAATTGGCACTAAGCTTGGCTGCTTTGTTGGCACTTAGGATAAAGAGGCCAAGGATTAAACGAATGCTGAAGGCTGAACCACCCTCTCCTGAGGTATTCCCCCCAGGACAGATATAAGGCACTTTGTCAAGTAAACTCATCTGGCTACTGTACCTAGAGGATTCAGCCTCTGAGGCCACCCGGACTAGCAATGGTAGGTGGAGATCTGGGATTTTAAACAGTTGTTCTTACAGCCCTGGAGTTCACCTCAATAGAATTGCTATACATGGAAAGACGTTCCTAGAGAGGGAAAACATCATCCACAAAAGCTACACAACATACATTGACGTCTACAAGGTCAGAAGGACAAAAATTGCACAGCTGAGTCTTGGAGCTGGGCAACAGCTGAATGTCTGACGTCTGGTTGGGTTTTAAAACTGCGTCCCAAGGGTGGAAATGGATCTGCAAGTTCCCACAAAGGGAGAACACATTTTGTTTGTCAATATCCCCTTGTCCGTCTTCTGGTCCCAGAACTTGCATTAGGAGTAAGTTCACTAGATTCATGGTCCATTTCCTCAAGTTTCTGTTATGGTCTCTCAACAAGAAAAAAAAATCCAATGCACCCCACCTGTTGAGGGGCAAGTTGAACTTGAACAAAGGTGGGGGGGGGGAGCTGAAAATAAAGTGGCCTAGCACATTTTACTTTAAAAGATGAGGAACTCTGTTTGCAACCTCTTCCCCCACAGAACACTGCTTTGGTCCATTATCCTAACAGTAAACCTGCAGCAGTGGTGCTCCAGAAGAATCGGTCTCTGTGTCCTGGTAGGAGGAAGCTCTGCTCAGCGGAGATCCTTGAGAGGGGAAAAAGAAAAGGGGAGGGAGGAGAAGTTTACACAGAATGAGGGTATGTCTACACTACCCCGCTAGTTCGAACTAGCGGGGTAATGTATGCATACCGCACTTGCTAATGAAGCCCGGGATTTGAATTTCCCGGGCTTCATTAGCATAAGCGGGGAGCCGCCATTTTTAAATCCCCGCTGCTTCGAACCCCGTGTAGCGCGGCTACACGGGGCTCGAACTAGGTAGTTCGGACTAGGGTCCTATTCCGAACTACCGTTACTCCTCGTGAAACGAGGTGTACCGGTAGTTCGGAATAGGCACCCTAGTCCGAAC